GTGACTCCATCTCCTGAGTATCCCGTATGACAGGTGCAGTAGAACGATCCCTTGGTGTTGGTACAGTTAGCATCAGCATGACAGTTGTGTGCGTAATGAGCATGATTTTTTGATAAAAGTGCAGGAAGACATTCATTAATATCTGAAAGAAAAAAGTGCTAGCAATAAAAAATGTGCTTTAAAGCTTTAAAGATGGTAATTATTATTATTATTATCATTATTATTATTATTATTATTATTATTATTATTATTATTTTCTTTTTTTTACTTTCGCAAAGGTTATTCAAAACTGTGAGCGACATGTAAATGAAAGAATATTTTCGTGTGGTCGCCTACTCGTCGTGTGATCACGGACCTTTTTTAGAGCTATAGACTCTTTATCATCTAAATACTAAGTTATGCTTTGAAATGCGTCTGGGTAGCTGAATCACAAATAGTGAGACCTATCAATTTAATTTTCTATTTGTTACCTACCTTGGCACATTACTCCATCTCCTGAGTATCCTGTATGACAGGTACAATAGAATGATCCCTTGGTGTTGGTACAGTTAGCAGCAGCATGACAGTTGTGTGCGTAGTGACTGTGATATACTGCTAGGGCTGTGGTCTTGCACTCGTTGATGTCTTTGAAGTATAATCAAGCTTATATTACAACCATTATCATGATTATCTATTTTATCTATACAGAGGTACCTCTATTATATTAATATCAATATGTAACCTTACGGGACCTTGCCTGAAGTCTAATGAATAGAGGTTTAATTGTAAATATGGGAAGAATATTTCGAGCCTATGCAGCTAGCTGTTCAATTCAATAATGACTGGTGCTCGCTCAATAAGGGGCCCGCTTAACTAGAGGCAACACTGTATATATGAACTATATATGCATGAAATAGAATAGTGCGTTAAAAAGATATTTATGATTATAAACAAATTTGGATCAGGAGCTTTACAATGATACATAATAAAGAATGGCAAATATAACCTTGATTTAGGATTTATGGAAAGTATATCCCTTTATATATTTAAGAAAGAACTCATTAAAGAAAACAGCCAAGGGCATTTTGTAGGGGGTAAGGACAAGGGTTTGTAATACCATGTAGGGATAGGAAAGGGAAGAACATATCTTGTGTTCTTTAAAGCAGTTTTGGTATGACTGTGGAAAGCTCGCTGCCGTGCCTTGAACAACCGTGTTATTTTTTAGAATTTTAATTGGCTGATCTTTTTTCTTCCGCAATATGATTGGTCTAACACGTCCGTGACCTTGACGATCAGTATGTCCGCGCATTGTTCATGCCGTGTATCGGGTATTTCCAT